TTAAAAAAAATAAAAAAATAAAATTTGAAGGTTCTTACAGAGGCCAGAGGAAAAGAAACATCAGGGGACAACCACAGGCTCTGCCAAGGTGGTGTGCCTCAATGGTGATTTGTATTTGTTACTAAGTAAGTACTCAAGATTCCTAATGAATTATTTTAGAACCATGAGTGGATTCAAGGTCATCCCTATATTAACACCTATTCTCGCTTCCTTATATTTTGATGAGTTTTCTTTTTGAGGCAGTGTTTAATTCAACAGTAGGGAATTGAGTAAAACACAGTCTTTTCAGTGCCTCGGTCTGCAGTGAATTACTGCTGCTAATAGTTAGTCCTTAGCAACGTTTGTGGTTTTGTCCGGTGTGAATATATTAGTAAGAAAGCGTCATGCATTTATCTTAATGGCAATCATGTTGGTTCTTACGAAGGGAAAAAGGTTAAGAAGTCTTACACCAAATGAGTTCGAAAAGTGCTTATCAGCTTGAAAACATGTGTGATTCAGGGCATATAAATTCTCTTTTGCATGAACCACTTGCAGTGTTAGCACCTGGGAAGCTTGTTCACAATACAGGGTCCTAGGCCCACTCCATACCGTAGACTAAAAATCTCTGGGGGTGAGGCCCAGAAATGTACCAATGGCACAAGCTCTCCAGGTGATTCCTATGGACACTGGAGGTTGGGAGTACTTCCAGGTGTCCTAGGGAAAAGCGTTGGCCAGCACTTTTCCCAGGCTGCCATGGACACATTCAGCCGCGTCTGGCTGCTGGGCTGCTGCTGGTGCAGCTGGAGGCACAGGCTACCGGCTCTATCATGATCATCAGTGATGTTGTTTTACCAAGTGTCCCTGACAACAGTGTGACGTTGAACTGCTACCATCTACCTCTGCATCACCAACACTGCTATTCTTTGTGGCTTGAAATTCAACGGAAGATTATAAGCAACTCTTGGAAGGTCAATATGTCGAATAAACTCATTTGCTGCCTTCTCCCCCCGTCTTTATTGTGCAGGCTTCCCAAAGTGTAATATACCAGGCTGTAGTCTGTAGATGTAAGAGATTTTTTTGGCTTCCAGACATACAGTGATGGGCTGGGGACTGAGAGATCTACCCTAGGAGGCAGAAGAGCGTAACCTGCTGTGCTGTGGGGTCCACAGCTATACGGGGAAAGAGGAAGTGAGCCTCTGTTCTATGCTCAGGGCTCACCACGTGTTTCTGGTGTACACAAGCTCAAGTAATGCTCATAACAGTCCCACGGGAGAGTGACATCTCCCTTTATTCTCATTCTCCGGAGTAATTAAGGAACCTGCTTAAGCTCACCCAGGAAGTAAAAGAGGCTAACTGACCCTCCTTGACTCAGGGTCAATTAGCAAAGTAGAAGAAAAGCGACAAGGATCTTTGTGGTTCTTGAATGAACACATTTCCACCACAGAGCATCTTCAAACATTTGTGTTTGCGCATCCCAGCAGGAAAAGCATCTGAGTGTGTCTCCCCTATGTATTTATTTATAAATCTATACATTAGAAACCAGTTTGCTCTTCACACCTTAGAGGGTACCAGCATCACCCGCTGAGCTTATTCCGGCACAGCTCATCAGGCCCCATCCCCAGAGCACCAGACATCCTGTAGGTTTGAGATGGGACCCAAGAATTTGTACTTTTAACAGGTTCCCAGGGGATATCGATGCAGCCTCTGACGGACCTGGCTTTCAGCAGCTTTGCCATCAGCATAACCCCAAGGCAGACATTTGAAGCACTAAAATATGATGGAATAAAATAGCAAATCTAATTAATATTTTTCCTTCCACCAGATAATTGTCTTATGCAGCTCCAGGAGTGGAAGATCCCATTTTGGATACCAGTGCATTGAACTGAGCCACACTGGCTTTCCTTGTCAGAGAGGCAGGCTAGGTAGCACTTCAGAAATCACAGAAATTTCCCAAACCTCAAACGTTGCGAATAAAGGAGATAATAAAGGGACACATCAGATGGGCACAGCTCTTGGTCCCACTAACATCCCCCCGGTGTGCTCAAGCACCCTGCCTTTCATTTTCAGCACACTCTACTCCTATCATCTTTCCTCTGCCTTAATTTTTTTCCCCTTTGTGATAACAGCTACCATCACTTTCAGGTAATACAATCTAGCACCCCTGTTGTTCCTTTTATGGAAATTCTAGCCACTGCAAGTACATGTGGTACTTGATATCCACAAAGCAAAAATGTTCTGAGTGAATGACGCTTTGATTGAACTTTAATTTTGCTGTCGCTTTGAAGTCCTGGCTCTGCATAAGTGATGTGCTGTGCAGCATGGTTACTTTCAGAAGCACTCCGAAGGGGATTTTTTCCCTACTCACATATGATGTAGATTTCCAGGGTGGTCTTGTAGATTTCTTCAGTGCTTTTGCTGTTTGGGTGAAAAATGAGGCAGGCTTATATGCTGTAAATAAAACCAGTCCCAGCACTTTGAAAGAGAAGAGACAAGGTATTTGCAAAACCTTGGTGCATAAATTTAAATCTAAAGGTTATTATAGCAATGGGCTATAGTAGCAAGAGGCTATTGTAGCAATACAATTATATTATAAATAAAATAATGTATGATATGGTTAAGATATATTATAAATATTATAAATTATAACAATAGGCTGTACTATAAAAGAAAAATGAAAAAAAAAGCCATTGCTTCAGTGGATGAGAAAAGAAGCATCTTTTGAAATTTCAACATAAAGGCAAGTGGAAGCGTAACTTATTAGTAAAGACAAAGTGCCTTCTCCCAGAGATAACCCCAGAGTTTCCTGTGACCAAATCTGAGCAATAGAGCAAATGTCATGGACTGAGAGGTGCTTTGCAAAAAGCCATTTGTACTGTACAGGAAGACTGCTGTGACCCATGCTCTGGCTTTTGTGGAATAAAGTCTCGATTTCAAACCAGATTCCAAAGGCCTCATGCATATGGATCAACAAAATGGCTCATGCACATTTCTTGCCCCAGCTATATATTTCTTCCCTAGTTTTCCACCCCCATTAATCTCAAATAAATGGCGCTTCTTCCATGGGTTAAGCCCTTGCTGGCTCAGAACTTAGAGTAATGTTAATCCAGCAGCGTACACTAAGGGCATCATCTGGCACAACTACAATATCCAGTTCTTACAGAGCAATTATCCAGTTCCCACAGAAGGTCTTCCACCTTCCCTCCTTGCCCCTCACCTCATTCCTGCCTCAGAAAGGAAAAGGTCAAATGGGAGAAGAGAGGCACCTGGGACATGTGCCATCAGAAGCAGACACAGAAGGCCTATCTGGGCCTCGGATACCCTGGACATGTCTGATGACTTTTAAAAGAGGAGGAGCAAAAAAGCAGTGTTTGCATATTATGCCCCTCAGAAAATATTTACTTGAGTCCAATGATGTGTCCTGCAATATATGTATGCCAGTCTTAGAATCAGCAGTTACTAAATGTGCTATTCTGGGCAGGTCAACTGAATTAGCCCGAGTATTGTTTTCCTCAGCTAGAGAATGCAAATAAGGCCTCCTGAAATCTAGCTGTGGCAGATTAAAGATGGCCACACACTTTTTGACACCTCTCCAATTGAGAGGTAGAGTCCTGGTTCACCATCTTGGAATAGTGAATAGGATGCGCCAGAAGTAACATTGTTTAATTTCTGAGCCTAGGCCTTACTCTTCTGGAAGCTTCCATGTTCTATCTCCTGGAATACTTACTTTGGGAGCCCTGGGCCACCATATATAAAGTCCAACTACCCAACAACATAGAGAACACAGCTAAGGGGCTCAGCTAAATCTAGCCTTCCGGCTGTCCTCATCAGGACACAGTCACATGGTAAAACCAACTTGGACTCCCCAGTCCAGCCCAGCCACCATCCACATGCCAGCAAGTGACCCCAGTCAGTGCCACATAGAACGATTACCCAGCCAAGTTCTGCCCAAATTTCTAACCTGCAAAATCATGAGACATAGTTTATTATATAATAATAGGTAATCCACATTAGACGATTGTGAGACTCAAAAAGAGATTGTAGATGGAAAAGGACTTGTAGACTGCAAAGCAACATGTTTTGTCAATAGTTGATAAAAGAACAAGTACAGTCTCTGAACACAGGCATTTACTAAGGATTAATTTTGGTGACATTTGCCATTACTACTTAAGGATGCAGTCACTTGCCATCGGGTGACAGTAGTGGAGATTAAGAGAAATACATTCAACATCTAGATATTTATTTTGATAAGGTCCAAGGCTCTGTAAGTAAGGTATACTAATGCAAACTCCAGCTAAGCAAAGAATATACCATCAGGCTTCATGTTATTTATTTCATAAAGGAATTTGGAACAATGATTTCTTTTCTTCTTCTATGATTATACTCACCTTAGAGTATTTTGAAATAATAAAATCAGTTAGCCAGAATATTCAAAAACATGGTACTGTATCTGAAAATGCCATCAATGCTTCTTGTTGAAAATCTTTCCAAAATGCCATAATAACTTTCTTGCCTTAGTAAGCTAGCTGTTCAGGAAATCCAAGATCTTTGAAAAGATTGTGAAAAGTTACTTCATAAGTTGAGTGTTTGAAACTTCAAATGCATTTTCCCCCTGAAACAACACTACAAATGATAATAAGATTCCAAGACACAACGCCAATAGAATTACAAATGTTTTATAATGCTGCATAATTATATATTTTAAGGTTTAAAAAAAATGCCCCCAGCCAACTCCATGTAGTGATTTCTTTAAACCTCATAAAATATGCTCCACCTTATCAAACCCTTTTCTGTCAGATCTAAGGGAGTGTGCAGGATGTCAGAGCCCACCCAGGAGGGCAACAGCTTTAGGAAGGTGGCGTCTGTGTCCTGTTGCCTGGGTCTGTCCAGAGCTCAGCACAGAGCCCATCCCCAGGAAGCACTCGGCAGCTGTCTGCTGTTGATCCCTGAAGCAGCAGGGTATAGAGACTACAACATGGTTCAAATCAGAGAGACCAAGCTTGGACTCTGCTCTGCCTCTTGCTAGTGGCAACCACGAGCAGAGCTCAGCATCTGTAAGCCTCCGTTTCCTCAACAATAAAATGAGAATCAGTAATGCCAACCACATGGTGCTCCTGCAAAAATTCCATGGAACATTTTGACGAAAGGCTTGTACCATGCCTGGCACACAGGAAGTCCTCCAAAAGGGGCAGCAATTATTACTATTACTGAATGCCCACATATCCCATTTGTGTCTCCATCCACTGCCTACTTCAGCATTTCTGGGGAGTGGAGGGTGAGGGAGGAAGTGCAAGGAGAAACTATTACAACTTCTATGTATATTTCTTTTTACCCCAAAATATTGGAGGTAAATTAAGCTTTACTTATATTTGATATATGGATTTATAGGAATGCATATATGTAAGTTATAAATAAATACACTGAGAGTACACACTGCATTGCTCAGTGTTTAAATTTTAAATAATACAGCTGTACACATCAAAATGTTTGAAGAGCACTGGCCTGATCCTTCAAATAAGTCACTGGAACAGAAGCAAGGGCAGTGGTAGACCCTGACCTCAAAGAAGGAGCCCAGCAATGGGTAGAGGGAGCTAATGTCCTTAGCCACAAGAGGGCTCTTGAGTCTCTATCCCCCAGCCTCCAGCAGAGGCAAAATCCTGCCTTCTTCAGGCAGGAGTGATGTTGGAGGGGCAGAAGAGAGAGGGAAAGTAAGAGAAAGTGGGATGAACTCTTAACAGCCAGCCGGCTAGGTAATCCGTTGGTGACAAAGTTAGCCAGTGAGTGGACATGGGTTCCCTCTGGTCAAGGAACCTCACGAGATGGAGGAAGTAGAACTTCCACAAGGGCTGCTGACACTGGGGCTGACAAAGTGGAGGAGACAAATGAGGACAGGGGGTGGCTGGGAAAGAAATCTGCCCCGGAGATGTAGGCCCTGCATTAGTGCCTGGACGGAAAGGCAAGCAGTGGGTGGGGAGATCAGCTCTGCCCTAGCAGGGTGGTGAATCCAGGACTAGGGCGCCATCTGTGTATTTGAGACGTGTGTAAGACAGGCAGACATAACTCAATTTGGAACATCAGCTTTATAGGATAGAGGTTTGGACTATCTATCGGATCTTCATGATACTCCCTAGAAACGTTTTCCCCCAACAAATTTAATAAGGGGCAGGATTATGAGGAAGATGGAATGCTGGGCCAGGGAGTCAAGAAAACTGTATTCTTTTTCTGGCTTTTCTATTATTTAGCTGTATCCTTCTATCAGTCACCTAGTGCCTCTGAATTCCATTTTCTCCCATAAAGAATGAGAGCTGATTTACCTGGTCCCGCGAGTCCCCTCCAGCCCTGTGACTGTGAATTCCAGGATTCTGAAATGGGCATATTCTCTTACGATTTGCCTCTTCTGCCTAAAAACTGAGCACAGGGAAGAATTACAGCTTATTAAGCGTATCTGGTTATTTACCAGTGTTTGACTGTTTCCTGTTCTAGAGTCTTCTTCAATGTCTTTATTCTGAAGTAACAGCTATGTTACTGCTCCTACTTGCTGTTCACATCCTGAGGGCAGCTCAAAGCGTTAATTCTTCTAGAGCTCCGTAATAGAGATTAGGTAGTCTGAGAGTGAGAAAAAGAGAGTAAGAGATGGAATTATTAGCTCATAGGAAGCTATAACTAAAGTAATCAGATGCTTCCCAAATGCACAGGAATGAAACCAGCTACTGACCCAATTGTATTAAAGTAAGATAAATTCACTGCTTCGCAGCAGATAAGCACTTTTCCTTTTCCTTTTTTTTTTTTTTTTGTCTTTTCCATTGTTCCCAGAATCCATCTGATCATCTAAAAAGTGTACTGGAATTAAAAAAGCAAATAAGAAACGGGAGGCAAGAGAATACCAGTCTTGAACTGCCAAATTCCACTAAGTGAAAATTTGGTTGGAGAGCAAAGAGAGAAGAAAGGAGAGCCTGGTCTCCAGAACAGAGGAGACATCAGCTATTATGAGTGTGTCCACTGTAAAGTAGGGACAGAGATTGGGATGTTTCCATTTTTCCCCACTGGACTCCCTTCCTCTCTTTACCAACCACCCCCACCGCGGGTTGAGTCACTGGATTATCAGACCTGTTCTCCTAGTCAGTTTGGGCTGCTATAACCAATGACCCATAGACTGGGTGGCTTAAACAACAAATATTTCTCACAGTTCTGAAGACGGGGAAGTACAAGATCAA